CTCAGCAGTGGAGGACTCCACCACGCTCACTGACTCAGCCACCTCCACTTTCCTGCCTCGGGGACTGTTGGCTAGCACAGACATTTGACACTCTGGGGACACATTGCTGTCTGGGAGCTTTTGTACAGGCCTGGCCTCCTGTCCAAATAGAGCTGTGGGCTGAGGGCAAGGTGGGGCTTCTGGGGGACTGAGGGGAGAGACGTGACAGGGCTCTGGGGAGAGTAGGATAGGATGGGGCAGGGGCTTCAGCAAGCCAGGCGTCTCCTGTGACAAGATGGCTTGGCATCTTGCCTGAGAAAACCACTTATCCTGTCTGCATGTGAGATGCCCCAGGATACAGGCTCTGTTACCTAAGCAGCAATCTGGGATGGGAGGTGGGAGCCCAATAGGAAGGAGGTGGAAGCACAATGGGAAGGAGGTGGGAGCACAATGGGAAGGAGGTAGGAACACAATGGGAAGGAGGTGGGAGCACAATGGGAAGGGGGTGGGAGCACAATGGGAAGGAGGTGGGAGACAATAGGAAGGGGGTGGAAGCACAATGGGAAGGAGGTGGGAGCACAATGGAAAGGAGGTGGGAACACAATAGGAAGGAGGTGGGAGCACAATAGGAAGGGAGTGGGAGCACAATGGGAAGGAGGTGGGAGACAATAGGAAGGTGCTACATCCACGGCTGTCTCGCCAGCGTAGCAGAAATGCTGACTGGATGGGCAAATATTGTCGGCAGGATTGGGATTTGTGCTTCCAGGAGCTGTGTGTTCCAGGCGGGTCCCTGGCAACCAGTTGTGGTGTAAAGCTACCTGAGTTGCCATTAGTATTGACTCGACCTGGCTGTCCTTGGAGCCATATGTGTGTCTTTTCCTTTATCTGTGTGTTCTTTGTGATTCTTGCAGATTACCAATAGATCAGACTATTCCAGGCAGTTGCGGATACAAACAAGACTGCTAAGGACATTTTTGAATTCTGCTCCGCTATTAATCAAAGCCTTAAAAAAGTAGCCAGTTTTGAAATTGCCAGAATCATCATTAGGACAATTCCTTGATGATATGGAACAAAAGGAGTTAATTTTACTAGGATACATCTTAGAAGCTTTAGGCATTTACCTTAGAAATATGTACAATTGTAAACAGAAGACCTAGCCTAAACTGACAATATCTAAGCCTGAGAATTGAGAAGGGAGGAAAGTTGAAGTTAGTGATATAAAGTAAACTTCAGAAAGACTCAAGACTATGTATTAGAATTTTCCTAGCAGAAAGCTTTCCCAGGGAGATAGTAGCCTTTTTTCTTTCTCACTCAGGCACACAAGGTCACTTAGCTCAAACCAACCAGCCACCTGCAAGCTGATAAAGATGGTCTAGCTCAAGGGCAGTGATCTCTTTGAAGGCAAGAGGAGAGAGTTTGTTTTGTATAGTGTGAGAAAGCAGAAGTCCTTGTGCCCAAGTCAAAGCATCTTCAAAGATTCTTTTTGTAAATTATTTTATGCTGTTCTTTTCTGTCTTATGATTTGATGATGTATGCCTTTGCCAAGTTCTTTGATTGTAAAAAATATATAATCCTGCACTGAAGTAAGTAAATTGCAACAGCATGTCTCAACATTGAGAGTGTCTGTGTGTCACTTTCCTCGCCGTATCCTGATTTCTCCTGTGCCTTCGCCCTGATTCCCTTACAGTCTGCGTGGCTCCCCTGAGCCGGTCCGTAGCAGGAAGGAGGTGGGAGACAATAGGAAGGGGTGGGAGCACAATGGGAAGGGGGTGGGAGCACAATAGGAAGGACGTGGGAGCACAATAGAAAGGGGGTGGGAGCACAATAGGAAGGAGGTATGAAGGTACAAAGGCCTGGAGACTCCATTCCCACTCCAGGCTCAACAGCTGCCCAGCCCTGTGACTTTGCATGTCTCATGGTGTCCTTTGGCATGTGTGGGAAGGTGACTTGACGCGCCTCAGATGGGACTGGTGGCTGAATATGTGGAACCTGTGTAAAACGAAGGCGCCAACCTTAGGATTTCAAGATGGCAATGGAGAATTCCTTAGTAGACCTGGGGACTGTCACACAGCCCCAGAGAGTGTCATGCCTGTCTGACCTTTACCCCAATCTCTATTTAAATGTTACCTAATCGTAGAGGGCCTGCCCCCTCTCAGCTTCCATCAAAGCCTTCCACTCCTGGACCGGAAGGATCGATCCCCTGCCCTACCCCCACCCGGGAATGTCAGCTCCCAGGCTTCCTGGGTGGCACCTGGTCTCTGTGGTATCTCAGAACATTCTAGACACCCAGAAAGTACTCTGTGAAGATGACTGCAAAGGAGGGATGAGGAGAAGGAGGGAGGGGGCAGATCTTCAGGCCTAAGCTTAGGAAAGCAGTTTCTTGATTAGAACTCAGTTGTCCAAAGGAAACTATCTAGTGATCTAAAGGCTTTGGGAGAGGGGCTGGAGAGACGGACCAGCAGTTAAGAGCCCTGGCTGCTGTTTTAGAGAACCTGGGTCAATTCTCAGCACCCACAGAGCAGCTGCCGACAGTCTAACTTCAGTGTCAGGGAGATCTGATACCCTCTCCTGGCCTCTTTGGGTACTGCATGCAAATGATTTGCAAACAGATGCAGACAAAACACACAAACAAATTTAAGTTTCAGGCTAGCCAGGGCTACATAGTGAGATCTTGTCTCAGAAATAAAATCAATAGTTTTTCTTTCCCTGAAAAAGAAATTGGAAGCATTTTTTTTTTTCTTAAAAATCCGAGTGCCAAGTTACAGGAAGTGTGAATGATTTTGGCCGTGAAACCAGAACCAGTCCACAAGAAGTATCCTAAAAGGTACTGGGGCCCGGAAGGCACAGAAAATCATTTTCTCTAGAACTAGGGGTCCCACCTTGTTGGGTGAGCTGGCCCTTTATGTATATTTGTCCCTAATCCCTTTATTTACACGAATGGCTAAATTCCCTTTAGTGTTTGGAGCTCTCTCTGTCCCTCACACTCTGTAGTGTACACCCACACACCCATGCCCACTCTGAGTGATTCCCTCCACCCCCAGGGTTTAATTCCTGCCTCGTTTCCCACACATCTCTCTGCCTCTGATCTTCGGTTACAGACAGCACTGCACTGGCTGACCTTTCACCTACATCATTTTTTTGCTTAGGGCAGGATATCTGTGGGGCAAAGTCCTAGACCCAGAAGTGTTGAGTCAAAGAGAAATGGTTTGGGGAGCCACGGTGTAGAACAGAGAACCTGGCCTCAAAACTTGCAGAGGGGCTGACTGGTTCTGTTAGTACACAACCTCCTCTCCCCTTTAGCTTGTGTGGCTGGGTCTGCATCAAACTCCGTGGAGGAAGGGTCTGGAAAGATGGAGCAGCAGTTAAGGCTTGGTGGCCATGAGGACAGAAGAAAGCACTGAATCCCTGGGGAGCAGAGTTACAGACGGATGTGAGCCACTGGGTGGGTGCAAAGAATCAAACAGAATTTCCCACAAGAGCAGCAAGTGCTCTTAACCACTGAGTCATCTTCCCAGACCCTTCTTTCCTTCTCTCTCTCTCTCTCTTTCTCTCTCTCTGTTGAAACAGGATCTAGCTTGGAACTCACTATATAGACGAGACTAGCCTTGAGCTCACAAAGGTCTGCCTGCCTCTGCCTCCTGAGTGCTAGGACTGAAAGTGTGTGTCACCACGTCCTGCCGAAGATTTGTTTCTCATTTTTCAGTGTGTGTGTGTGTGTGTGTGTGTGTGTGTGTGTGTATAAATGCACACGCAGGTAGCCTAAAAGGCCAGCCTCTTCTAATCTAATCTAATCTAGATCTGGAATTACGAGGAATCTTGAGACCCTTAGCCCCCAACATGGAGGCTAAGAACTGATGTCAGGCCCTCTGGAGGAGCAGCAGGAGTGCTAACCCTTGAGCCGTCTCGCTGGCCCCCAAGGACAAACTGGCAGCGTCTGTGTGCTGTGGGCCTTGTATTCTCTTTCCATGTCTCCCCTCCAGCCCAGGGAAGACTAAATAGCAAAACCATATAAATGTATTAACATGGAAACAGGGGACTAGCAGTGGTGGCTCACGCCTTTAATCCCAGCACTCAGGAGGCAGACAGAGGCAGGCGGATCTCTGTGAATTCGAGGCCAGCCTGGTCTACAGAGTGAGTTCCAAGACTGCCAGGGCCACACAGAGAAACCCTGTCTCGAAAAAACTCAAAAATAAATAAATAATCAAAACAAATAAGTAAATGAGGACAGAAATGAACTTCCACAAGAATTCTTGAACTCTGAATGACTCAAGAGAATGTTTGCTTACAAGCCAAACCCATGTGGGTGTGGTTCCTGGTTTTGGTCTTGTTTTCTGGATAGGCGAAAGGATCTTAGGGTGTGGATGGAAGTTGATCAGCAATCTGGTCTACGTGTGGTCCAGGAAATCTCCCTCATCGTTCGTGTGGGGAGCAAGGGAAGTCAGGACGACCGGATTCTAAGCTGGTTTTTAAAGGCCTTCCATCACCTTTATATGGATTTCGAAAGCAGCTATATTTGGAGAAGCGTTGCTCTCTCTGCTGTGACATACATCCATCAGATGTCCTAGAGAGTTGGTCAAACCGAGTTGCACAGTCTCATTAATTTCTGCAGGAGAAGAAGGAGGTACAGTGGGTGGAGAAGTACATAGGCGCAGCCGTGGTTTAGTGACTAGCACTCAGGGACAGCGAGACTCGGTCAGGCTCCCTCTCCTATCTGGAAAAGGCCCTCTTGAGATACATGATCAGGCAAGCATCCTGCTTCTCAACTACAAACCCAGCCCTAAACAAACAGAATACTTCCCAGTCTCAATGCCTGGTTTCCTGAGGCCTCTCAGAGTTTATATCAGGCCCTGGGCTCTGAATTCACTACTTTCCTGTTTGGAACTGAGAGTCCAGGGATCTTTCATAGGCTAGCAAAGACTGGGCGGACCCTTTGACCAGAAGCAGCTTCCAGCCGAAGAAACAGGGCCCAGAATACAGAGGGCTGGGCCAGCACCCAGGTTCTTTGGTGGCAGTCTCGCCAGTATGCAGCACAGACTGACTTTCTTTGGGGACTACCAAGGGACCCATTGAATGAAAGCGATCTGGCTTGGTGCAGGCAGTCTCTTGCTTGGTTTCTAGAGTCCCTAGGACTCTCCTAGAACCCTTCGGCCTGAGGTAGGATGGTCCTGAACCTGTCTATAGTCCAAGACTTCTAGGCATGAAAGGTGGGTCCTCTTCACTGTTTCCCTCTCTCTAAAGCTTTGCCTGTTTTGCTCTAGAATAGCTGGGGCAGAAGGGAATGTGTCAACTCCCCCCACCCTTCCTCCTCTTAACTTTATTGGAACAGGGTCTCCCTCTGTAGGAGCCCTGGTAGCTTAATACTGTATCTGTTAATACTGCATCAGGACGGTCGTGAACTTGCCACAAGCCTCCTGCCTCTGTCTCCTGAGTACTAAATTTACAGTTGTGGGTCACCCCACCCCCCACAGCATCCATGACTGGCTTCACTCTACCGATGGAGCCACATCACCCAGTTCCTCGGCTTCTCCTGTTACTTGCTTATTATATATTTATAAGCAGGGTCACATGTAGCCCAGGCTGGCCTGGGATGCTCTAAGTAGCTAAGAATGACCGTGCACATTTGGTCCACCTAAGGCCTAACCCCCAAACCCTGAGATTACCAATGTGAGCCACCGGCTCATCCAGGGTCATTTCCACACTTTGTTTGCCAAGGCAGTTTCGTAAGAGGAAAAGGCAAGGTGTGGGAAAGGCTTCCATTGACCTGTAAGGGGGCCTCGCTGTCTCTGGATCAAACCGACCCCAAGGCTGCTCCTGTGTGCTTTCTACCCCTCAGTGTCTGCATTTATATCCAGCTGCCGCAGGAGAACCTTGTTTGGGCATGGTGCTTTCAGAGGATAAAAAGCCTCAGACACAATCACTTTTCTTCTCAAGGTTCTGTTTGTCAGCATCTGGAAGCTGAAGACAAGCGTCAAGGGAGTCAAGAGTCAAGTTCCACCTTGGGAACTTGTCGCTTCAGGTCAAGCTGACACGGTTGGAAGCCCAGACACCTTCCTCCCATAGATACTGATGGAGAACCCCCACCCCCTTTACTGTTCCAGGGACACAGGTCCTCACAGGAGAGACATTCCCCACCCTCTGGTACGCACATTATAATTTGTGGGTTGGGACACACACGGAGTCTACATAAATACCATGAGTTTTAAAATTCAGTTTAGGAAATAGGGAGGGGCCAGACAGTACGTCTTTAATCCCAGCACTCCTGAGGCTGGCGGATCTCTGAGTTCAAGGCCAGCCTAGTCTACAGAGTGAGTTCCAAAACAGCCAGGGCTGCCCTCTATGAAGATGAGGGGGAGAGATGCTGGGGGGGAATGACTGTTTTTGGAGGCTCTCACCTCTCTCTACCAGAGGGACAGAATGCACTGTCCCCACCACAGCTCAGGACTGCCTGTGCCCTTTGCACATGCTAGGTGAGATTGCTGAGTCTCCTCAAGAACCATCAGTCAGCATTTCTACCACCCAGCCCTCACCCCACCCATAGATGGGTAACTGAGGCACAGCCAGCAGAACTGGTTGATACTCAAACTCAAGTATGCCTGTCCTCAAGGTTCTTCTTGTCTTTCATCTTTGACATTCAGGAGCCTCTGGCCCAGGCTCTTCTTTAGCCTCAAGGTCACTGGCATCATCACCAGTAAATATTTAAGCACCTAGTGCTGGAGAGAGTCAGGTTACCTCAGGTCACCCAGATGGCCTGGAGGGCTGGACAAAGGGCACAAACAGAGATAGGACATTTCATGTAAGGTCTGAATGGAGGCCGGAATGTTACGGTCCAGAAAATAACCCTGGGAGCAAATGAATCCTCAGATCATCTGCCTCCTGGAGGTCAAGGATGAGGAGCCACTAATTCAGGCTCTAACTGTAGAGTGGAACCACCTCAGACCAGTTCTAGGTGTTTCAAGTCTAATCAAAATGAGAATCTGGGCACCCCACTCTGTTTTTGTTTTAGCAGTGGGGTCTCATGTAGCCCAGGACGGCCTTGAACTATGTACCAAAGGATGGCGATCTTGAACTTCTAATCCTTTTTGAGTGCTTGGATTACAGGCATGCATTTTTGGTTTTTTGAGACAGGGTTTCTCTGTAGTTTTGGAGCCTGTCCTGGAGCTAGCTCTTGTAGACCAGGCTGACCTTGAACTCACAGAGATCCACCAGCCTCTGCCTCCTGAGTGCTGGGATTAAAGGGATATACAACCACCACCCAGCTACTTTTTAAAAATTTTTTTCAAGAGTTTTGCCTTCTCAGGTGGTGACACATGCCTTTAATCCCAGCACTTGTAAGGCAGAGGCAGGCGGATCTCAATGAGTTTGAAGCCAGCCTGGTCTGCAAAGCGAGTTCTGGGATAGCCAGGGCTGTTACACAGAGAAACCCTACCTCGGGGGGTGGGGGCGGGGAGTTTTGACTGCATGTATGTGTGTGTACTACATGACGCTTGGGCAGTGATCCACCGGAACTGGAGTTACAGATGTTTGCAAACCATCATCTGTACCGGATGATGGGTACTGGAAGGTGCACCCAGGTCCTCCGCAAACGCAGTTAATCTGCAAGTGCTCTTAATCACAGAACTAGTCACACACACACACACGCACGCACGCACGCACGCACGCACGCATGCACGCTCCTCAAGTTTTTAAGCATAGCAGTTCATGGAAGGGGCCGGGTATAGAGAGGAGAGACAAGCGGCTTTTGACATCTAAGGAGCAACGGTGAAGCCCTGGGGAACCTGAGGGTCTAAGGCAGAGAACTCAAGTTCGGACTAGGGACTGGCGTATAGTAGGTGTATGGGGAAAGGTAAGCTGAGCGCAGGCCAGAGGGAGGCATGCATAGCACAGCGAACCCCTGCCTGGACCATGATGTTGAGTCTGTCTGTGTTCATTTTTGTTGTTAGTGTGGGCTGCTTGCTGTTTCTCTGGGCCTCAGTTTCTTACAAGGAGCCAACTTCTAATCATTTATGCTTGAACCCACAGGTCAGCATTGGCCTCGACCTTGGCCAGGGAAGCGGTTCTCTGCAGTGGGCAGCCGTTAGTGGCAGAGACTCACAACCCTTATTCACAAAGGGGTGAGAAGAAATTTCCTGGCAGAATGTTTTCCCAGGAAGATAGTGGCCTTCCCCTCTCCCACCTGGGAGATTCCGAGTACAAGGTCACTTAACTCAGCCCAGTCAGTTACCTGGTGATAATAACAAGGAGAAAGCTGACTCAGCAGGATGGGAGGGAGCAAAAGTCCTTGCGCCTGTGCCAAAGCAGCTTTGAAAAGCCTGTTTGTAGTTATGCCTTTAAAAGCTTACTCCACAGAGGAGATACAACTCCTCTCTACCTCAATGCAGCGGGGTCAGAGATGGGTTCCAAACATGTTTGTATCATGCTGATTAAACCTTGCGTATTACAGTCTGGGCCTCTCTGGTGGTCTCTCTCTGGGGGTCGTAATCTGGGCACAATATTGAGAATAAGTGACAGCTGATCATTCAGTCACACACGGGACATTTGTGTCACCACCACTGTATCCACTAAGGCTCAGGGGACATCTCAGAAGAGGGGGTGGAAAGAGACAGAAGCTGGGGAGGGTGCTGTGACTAGCGGTCTTCTGGACGTGGTCTGGCTGCTATGCTCAGCAGCCCCCTGCAGCTGTGGTTATCTGTACAATGTCGGGGTTTGGTGGCTGGCCCGGACCCTCAATTATTTCTACCAGACCCCAACATAAACTATCTCTCTCTGGACTGGCGGGGAGGAGACGACTCACACGGCTTCATGGGGAGGGAGATTCTCAGTGGTCCCTCATGAAGTCCTGAGTTCACATCCTGAAGAATTTCCTCTAGTTTATTCTCCAAACAGCATTTATACCATAACTTAACTGAGGGTGAAATACATCAGCATTCTGTCTCCTAAGTAACCAGGTGAATGGCCTTTTGTCATGTCCACAACTACCTGTCTGCTCTGTACGCTATTACAAAGAAAGGGGCAAAATATCCTGACCTTTGTTAGGTTAGCGACAGCCTGCCTGGCTGATACCTGACCCATCTCAGGTGTGGCCTATGGCTTGATGGCTTGGCTGCCGTGTCATATAGAAATATGGGCAACTCAACGTGGTCAGCAGTCCAGCAGGACTAAGAGGACTCAGTGGGCTATTGTATCTTTAAGGAGGGTGGGGTGGGCAGAAGCAGGCAGATCTCTGTGAGTTCTAGACCAGGGCTACATAGCAAGATCCTATCTGGGGGGGAGAAAGAGAGAACAAGAAGGCGGAAGACGTGATGGAGGGGGTAAGAGAGCAGGGCTGGCATGGATATAATCAAAATACATTACTTATAAACAAGGAGTTGCCAAAGGATAGATGAAAGATGCCTGCTTTGTCTTAATGGAACAGACTGAATTAGACCCCTTCGATCCTAACTAGATGGGCTGGACCCTTCAGTGCAATAAGCCCATTTGGAGGACCACAGGTGGGCAGACTCCACCCACTCTCCAAGCCTGGTGGAGGTGCACACATTGGCATCAGTGAGCATCCCCACAGGACCCTGCCAGACTGCTCGCTCTATAGCAGGACACAGTGTGGCTATGGAAATTTCCACTCGGCCCCTCTAGCCCAGCAGGGAAATGAGGCTGTCCTTTTAGCTTCCAAGTGGAAATTTCCACACACAGAGACACAGATATGAACACACAGAGAGGGGAGGGGTGGGGAGAGGGGGGAGAGGGAGAGAGGGAGGAAGAAAAGGAGAGAGTGCGTACCGGCAGGAGATTCAGTGACAAGGAGCTAAAGACAGACAGTGATCCTCACAGCGGAAGGAGATGTGGGACAGCTTCCGGTTCCTGCGACACAGAGGATAGTCAGGGGTCCAGATATCTATCTTTCTTCTAGAAACATTGAGTACGCTACCTGATCCACATTGGAGCTTACTCCAGTTACCAGGGACACGGTTGCTAACAGGGTAGACATCTCTACCTTCCTGAAGGATATCACAGGGGAGAGAGGGTATTTAAGTTTCTCATTGCTGCAACAAGAATCCTGACCAAAAAGGGCTGCTTATGGAAGGAAGCATCTATTCGGCTCCTCCTCCTCTTCTTCTGTAAGAGCTAGTTCTAGGACAGGCTCCAAAGCTACAGAGAAACCCTGTCTTGAAAAAAAAAGTCAAAAAGAAGGAGGAGGAGGGGAGAGGAGGAGGAGAAGGAGAAAGAGGAGGAGAAGAAGAAGGAGAAGAAGAAGAAGAAGGAGAAGAAGAAGAAGAAAGAAGGAGAGGAGGAAGAGGAAGAAGAGAAGGAGGAAGGAGAGAAGGAGGAGGAGGAAGAAACACAAAGCAGACTGTGCGTAGCGCTCTGTCTTCTACAGTCTGGGTCTGGGTCAGCAGCCCCTAGGATGGTACAGTTCACATTTCTTTTTTTGAGTCCCACCCCACAGTCCACACTTACAGTGGAACTTCCCATCTCAATTCACCCAGTCTAGATAATTCCTTGTAGCTACCCTTAATGAGTATTCACCCCGCCCATGACCTTGGGCTATCAGGCTTGTAGCAGAGGTGGAGTTTCTTGTTTACTGACTTGACTTCTTTAAAAAACAGAGACAGGTACTCGCTCGCAGGTCAGGTCCACCGGTTCCATTCACCCCCTGGCAGAGCGGAAAACCTCAGTGGCACTCTACCTTGTTGTTATTCGTGAGTGTTCCCTAATAAATCTTTGATATCCTTTGATTCAGGCGCTCGTGGATCACACACCTGTGCCTACAGCTATGTCTAGAGATTTATTTGTTCAGCAAATCTGGATCCTGTCAAGTGACAGTATTAACTGTCAAGGAGCAGGGATCCACATAAATACTGTGAACGAAAGCTCGGCAAGGTAGGGGATAAAGAAGGATGTTGGGGTCGGCAGTGGCTGTGTTAGAGAAAGCCAGGTGTGTAACAGCAAGGGAATAGCGGGTGCAAAGGCCCTGAGGCAGGGGAGGGCAGCAGAGGAAGAGCTCGGGGTGCTGGGACCCCGCTGGCCTTGTTATGGACTGGATTTCCCGCTTGGTGACATGGAGACCCCATGTGAGGTGTTTTTAGCAGAGGAGTGGCCCCGATCTTAAGAGGCTTCTCAAAGGCTTCTTCCCTTCCTGTGAGGCCCCCATGAGTGTGTCAGTCAGTCGGGAAGAGATTCCTGGGAGATCTTGTGGCCACCACACCTAGATATGTGAGCGGCCAGCACAGGTCCCTGCTCACTCTCCTCTCTCTATGACTCAGTTTCTGATGGGATGGGAGAAAGCAGCATTGACTGGCCAACTCAGGACCCTCAGCCCCAGAGAGCAGCCCTCATCCTGTCACAGCCCTGGGCCTTCTAAGGTGGGAGCCTGGCAAGATCATGTTGGCAGATGATGAGTCTCGGGTGACAATATCGCACTGCAGGACCAAGCTGGGCACGACTCTGAGACAAGCCACATGGCCTCTCGCCTCCTTGGCCCTTCTTGAGGCAGCTGTGGGAGAGCTGAATGTTCTTTCTTTGTGGAACCCAGGTCCCCCCACACCCTAGGGAAGCACTTAGCCACACCCCAACCTGGAAGCTCTGCCTAGCAGAACCTTCCTGAGCTGCCTCTCATGCCAAGTCAGCGAAGTCCAGAGGCCGGCGGGAGACATGATCCTCAGGCATGGGCACCAGGCACCCACCTCCAGAGAGCCGCCAGCCATGCTGGTGGTATAGACAGATGCAGCGGGGACAGGTACTACCCTGGCATGGTGCATGCAGGGTTTGGCACCTGCAGGCCCTGGGTCACCCCCTGTGGGTTGGATTCTGGCAGAACTTTAGAAAGCAGATGTCAATTCCTCGAGGCAGCATGACGCCTGGGTGTCCAGTGATGTAAGGCGCTGTGTTAGCCAGCACAGTGAGCCAACCAGGAACCCTGATCAACAGATTCCCAATGTCTCTCCTGCCCTATGCTAACCACCTATATACCTGACTCGTGTTGCCGTGTCCCATGGCCAGCTGTGTCTACGTCACGTCAGAGACGAGCGTGGCAATTTATTTTCAATGGAGCCTTGAGGTGGGGAACTTGGCTTTATAGGATCTCAGGACTGCCCATGGGGCACACTCTGTCCAAGGCAAGGGCAGAATTAGGGGGCTAGTGTGGAGGCTGCTGCAGAAACCCTGGTACCAACAGTAGGGGCCAGGCAGGGCGTGGAGGAGAAGAGGTAGGCGGTGCTGGTTTGTGTTCAAGCACACGAATGGCTTGTCCTTCCACTGCCTGCTCGCTTACTTGTCTCCTCTGCCCTGCAGGACACATGACAGGTGCTCCACAGTCACCACTGCAGTCGGACGTTCTTTGTGAGTACCCAGACGGTCACACTGCTCCCGTCCACCACGGCTCTCAGACCCTACCTAATCGCGGCATAGCTGCAGCTTGTGACCTCTCCATCCTCTCTCTCTCTCTCTCTCTCTCTCTCTCTCTCTCTCTCTCTTTCTCTCTCTCTCTCTCTCACACACACACACACACACACACACACACACTGCCACATCTCCAATTGGCCCTTCTACATGCAACCTTGGGTGCAACTCCTCAGGTATTATCCACCAAAAAGATCTCTTAAAGTTTGTACGTGTTTGTGCAGTCATGCATAGATATATACCACGTGTGTGCATGCCATAGAGAACAGAAGGCTTATGTGTAGGACCTCTTGGAACTGGAGTTGTGGGCAGTTGTGAGCCACTGTGTTAGGCACTGGGAACTGAACCTGGTTCCTCCCCAAGAGCAAGTGATCTTAACTACTGAGCCATCTTTCCAGCCCTGGGCTCCTTCTATTTTTTTTTTTTCCTTAAATAACCCCTCATTAACCTGGAACTCATTAAGTAGGCCACATTAGCTGACACTGAGCATCCAGGATCCTCCTGCCTTCACCTCCCCAGCTCTAGAATTAGCCACACACAACCACACTGTCTTCACATGGGTTCTGAGAACAGAATTCATGTTTGCACGGCACGCACTTGGCTGTATCATCTCTGTAACACTTTTTCTGCTAACTGTACTCAATCCTCACTTCTTCCGTGGGACTCAGCTGCTCCCTTCTCCAGGAAACTTGCCTGCTAGTTGCACATTTCTGGGCTGGCATCAGTCCCACCAACGACCCCATCAGCCCCTGTTATACCATGAGGCTCGTCCACGGTTTGCACCCGGATGGATCATGTGTGCTGTCCTGGGACTTGTCCTCCATTCCTAGCACCCAGCATGTGGTAATCTTCTTAAAAAGCACATGCATGAGTGAAGGGTGCAAGACCCTTTCGGGTGCCTGATCACAAGGGCGGGTGACTAGATCAGCCCGTGCCTAGAGCAAGGAGAGGGAGCAAATCAGGAGACGACGTGTTCCCTGTG